GATGGCGCAAGACGCGGGCATACTCACTTGTGGAGGGGAAGAAGGCGGACCTGGCGGTTCGTGACCGCGAGTCCGGTGCTGTCTGGGTCTGTGACGTCGCTGTCACGGATCCCATCAGCAAGAGGGACGAAACTGCAAGGAAGGGGCGGGGTTGGGCAGCTCGGGAGGCTGCCGATAAGAAGATCGACCACTACTCGACCCGCCCGGACTACGTAGGGCTGTTTCCACTGGCCATGGAAACCTATGGCTGCCCCTGCAGAGAGGTCCCCGCCTTCTTCAAGCTCCTGGCTGCCAGGAAGCTCTTCAACGCGGAACCCGCCACCTACCAAGCCGTTCGGCTCCTCCACCAGTTCCGGCAGCGGTGGTCCGTGGCCTTGCAGCGCGGCTAGGGCACGAGCTACCTCATCAAGCTCAATGCCGCAGCACAGGCTGAGAACCCCCCGGTTGACTCACCTGCTGATGGCCTCCCTCGGGGACTGCTTTGCCATCTTGGAGCCCTTGGTGGAGCCCAACTAGGCTAGTCGTACCTTCGCCTGTGCTTGCTTGATTGTTCCGGCCCATGCCTACCACGCACCATGTACACCACCTTTCTATCAATATAAGGACCGCTTGAGAGAGGGAGAGAGGGAGGGAGAGAGAGAGGGAGAGAGGGATAGAGTGAGAGAGGGAGAGAGGGATAGAGGGATAGAGGGAGAGAGGGAGAGAGGGAGATATGGAGAGAAGGAGAGAGGGAGAGAGGGAGAGAGAGAGAGAGCATAACTCCCTTCCTTCGTATATAAAGACCCTTCTCCCTTCATTCTTCTCGTTCAGTTTCCAGTCCATTCTCTCCTGCTTCCCTTGGTGGCGGCTCGCGCCGGCGGCCTTCGGCCGCGCGTGAGGGGAAAACAAATCACCAACTGGACACTTCAAATATCACACAAGACACGGCACATCAAACAAGCACGCGTACCCTAGGGCAGCGCTCCAAATGCGCGCGGCATGGAATCTCTCCTACTTCTAGCGGGGCGATCACCCCCCACAGCAGCCGCCTCTGAGGCGGAAGCCCTGCGGCGGTACGGTCGGCGTGTGCCACTCACACGGGCTCCCCGGGCCCCCCCTCTGTCAGCTGTGCCGCCACGATGCTGTCCAAAACCCGGAGCATGGACACACAACCTCCAACGAGGTCTACAACTGACGCCGTCGTTATGCTCATCGACAGTGCTGTCACTGCGGCGACCAAGGCCGGGTCCAAGCCAGTTCCCGGGGCGGGCACTGGCAGCGCGCGCCCAACCGCAACTGTTAGATCCCCAACCGCATCCGAGCTCTTCCGGAGAGGTGAGAGCGGCATCTTATGCTGGCTCCCTGAGCCCAGCAGTGATGAGTGGGCATCGTCCAACGTCGCCATCAGCAGGGACAACGCCTGCTGCGAGTAGCCCATGCGGCAATATGTGGCATCTAGGATCGCCACTTGCCGGCTGCGGTGGGTGCAACGGGGGACGGGTCCACTCGAGCGCTAAGGATGGCAGCGGCGGGGCCTGCCACTAGGGCAGCGAGTCGTCTGACAGCTCGGATGCTGCCACAAACCGAGGGGCGAGGGGAGCCGCCTGAAGATAGTGCGACCGAGCAGGAGGCGCAGCGTGGGGGAGGGCCGGCGCCAGCGCTGGCTGTGACTGGTACGCAGGGGGAGGATGTGCTTGAGGGTGCACGGGAGCAATCGGCTGGTGGGACGACAGCGGAAAACATCCCGATGGCTGCACTATCAGCGGTTGCGGAGGGGGTTGCGTTGACGGCGGGAGGCCATACGGTGCGAGACGCTGCGAGGGGTTTGAGGACGGAGGCGGTTGGGGATGCGGGGGGGCGGCAGGCTGCGGCAGAAGCGGGGGCGCCAGCGCGAGCGCCTGGACGCTCCGCCAGATGCCCTGGATCGCGGCAGTGTTGCTCGCCAGCTGGCGCTCCAGCAGCGCCGTCCGCGCCTGCTCCCCCGTGCGACGCCCCCGGCGCTGCCCGTTCCGTCCACGACTGTCAGGCGTCCGCGAATTGCGCGGCAGCTGCTGCTGACGATGGGGCGTGCGCCACACTCGCGCCACCGGTGGTGACGTGGGCCGAGAGCGGTGGGGCGGTGGCGGGGTCTCCTGGCGGGCAGCGTTATCCTCTACGCGCTCGGGCGGCGGTGTCTTCTCCTGCCCCACAGGGGTTTCGCGCGTCGCCGATCTCGGCGGTTCGCAAGCACCCATGGGGTCAGGCGACTTGGGCCGGCTCTGGCGGCCAGCCATCCCGCGCTCCCATGAGCGCGTCGATCGCGTAGGCAGGGTCTGCTGACCTCGGGGGAGCGCGCTCTCCGCGGTGCTCTCGAGGTCAGCCGACCGCTCCCGGTGCTCCTGGTGGGTGGGCTTCATTGGCGAACTCGCCGCTGCCTCCATCCGCCCACAGGGTCGCTACGCCATGCTCGGCAGGCAGAGGACGCGGGCGTCGCGGAGGCCGGTCTGGAGGCGGACGAGGTGGACGAGGTGATGGTCGTGGCAGGAGTTCAGCGACCGCGGGCGAGGGACCGCTGAATGGCTTCCAGAGGGCTGGAGGACGGGCTTTAAGGGAGAAGGAATAACTGAGGAGGAGGAGCAGGGTGACGTGACATATATACAACCAGCCCATGAGGAATCGACCACTGAAAGCTCAAGTGCTGTGGCCCCGAACGAAGGAAGGGCTGGAGGAGGAGCCCGAGTCGGATCTCGATCTGCTGGAGCGAACAGCTGGAACGCTCGCCAGCACCCAGAAAATCCGAATTTGCTGCCAGATCCACCTCGTCGACCACTTGAAATCTCGTCACAGGACCTGGCCTCAAATGAATCTCTTTTCGCACAGATCGCCAGCTGGGAAGTCGCCGCCCTATGCGACAATCGCCAGCCACCGATCTGTAGACGCTTACCACCCAAACTACGCCCACACTTCGCGCTGTCCCTCCTGGTCTCCTTTCTGCACCTTGGGAAAAATCCCTCCTCCCTCGCGGGGTGGCGCCTCTTCCTGTTCACCCCAAGGCTGATACTTCGCCTGGGCTCACCGAGGCGACCTGATTGGGCGAAAATCGAGCAGCGCCTGAAGAAATTTCTGGCGGGCGAATGGGAGGAACTGTACCAGGATGTAGTACGCGCAATCTCGGATCTAGACATGGGCATGAGCCGAGCCGGCTCGCCGTCGAGCTGGGCACCAAACATGCCTGGCTCGGCTCGCATTCTGTGGGCGAGCCAGGGCTGGCTCGACGGCGAGCCGGCTCAGCTCGACTCGCCTAGCATGCGCTTAAGCCAACAGTAGTGTGGGTCGAGCCTATGCAAGCGCGCGTTGTTAAGAGTGGCGCGGGCTGCTTAAGATTTCTCGCGCGAACTAACCTAATGAGATACTCCTAGGCGCGCAAAATTCTAAGGTTCGCAAAATTGACGGGAAGTGGATTGTGAGGAGGAAGGAGGCGTGCAATCTCCAGCTTCCTCGGGGGGAGGTGGAACACGCACGCACCTGGGCCCAAGCCTCACTCCCCCCCTCTCTCGACGGGCTGGGCCTCACTGACCCCGCCATCGAGGGTCCCGCGGCTTTCCTCACCAGTGTCACCCAGGCACAGCACCTCCACGCCGCTCTGCCTGCAGCAAACGACGAGCCCCTGGCAGCTGCAGTTCGCCCCCTCACCCCCCCCTTTACCCCCTCACCCCCCTGACTGACGGAGTGTGACGCGGCTCTGCCAACCCGCGTGCTGGAGCTACTGCGCTCAGAGCGCCAGGAACCATTGGGGACCGCACTCCAGCACCGCTCTCTCTCCAAGTCCAAGGCGTGCGATACGCTGAGCAGGTGGCGGCATCCCGCGGGATGGAGCTGAACCCCAGCTCCGGCCACACCCAGCGCCTCTTCTCTCTGGCGGGATACGGGGCAGGGGATTGGATTCACGCCATCCCCATCTTCCCCTCCCTCCGCCTTGGCCCGCCGCACTTTGCCATCGTCCTGGCCTTTCGCCTCGGCCTCCCTTTCCCGGCTCCACGCTACTGCAACTGCGCAGACCGAGCTCCAGCATCCTCGGCTGCCCAACCACTTATTCCGCTGCGGCAAGGCCGGAAAGACACCCACGATGCACTCCGCAAAGGTGCGTCCGTATGGCGCGGGATGCCGAATTCATCGTTACCAAGGATACCACCATCTACAGTCTAGTGGACGGCCATAAGGCTGACCTGGCCATACGCGACCGGGACTCCGGCGCCGTTTGGATCTGTGGTGTCACTGTCACGGATCCCATCAGCACCCGGGATCCGCACGCGCGTAAGGGGCGTGGGTACATGGCCCGGGAACAGGCCGACAAGAAGATTTACCACTATCGCAACAGCGCCCCTTACGTCGGTTTCTTCCCACTGGCCGTTGAGACCTACGGCTGCCCCTGCGCCGAGGTCCCCGGCTTTCTAGATCTGCTGGCGGACACGGGGGCCAGACGACTATTCAACGCGGACCCCAACTCTTACCAAGCGGCGAAGCTCCTCCATCAGTTCCGCCAGCGCTGGTCCGTCACGCTCCAGCGGGCGCAGACCCTGGCCTACCTCGGGAAGGCCAACGAGGCTGCCCCTGCGGAGCACCCCCCCTGTGGGTACCCCCGTCGCTGACATGGCCCTTGGGGATTGTTTTGCCGTGGCGGAGCCCCTCAGGGAGCTCCAGTAGGTCGGTAGTCCTCCCACAGCATGCACGTACATGGCTTTGCCTTGCTGATTGCCTGCAGGTCTCCTTTGTACTCCTTTTCAATCAATACAAGGACCGCTTGAGAGAGGGAGAGAGGAAGAGGAAGGGAGAGACGGGGTGAGGAGAGAGAGAGATGGAAGGAGAGCAGAGGAAGTAGCGGAGGTGGAGGCGAGAAGGGAAGCTGAGAAAGTGGAGGAATGCGGAGAAAGGGACCAAAATATATTGCAGTGAAGCTAGTGGCACCACACTGCACCGTAATGCACCTGATGGCAGCATGTAGCAGCTACGGGTACACAGAACCTAGCAGCACCGCACAGCACCTGGTGGCAGCGTATAGCTGCATGAGCGGGTCGGTGGAGCGTGCTTGCTGGGGGCGGGAGAACCAGGGGGTGGCCTGCCACATTATATGCTGCGACTGGTTGGGGGAGAGGAGAAATAATACACGAGAGAAGGGAGGGAGAGAGTAGAAAGCAAAGAGGGAAGAATAGGGTGCTTGCTGGGGGCGGAAGAACAAGGGGGTGGCCTGTCGCACTGTGTGGTGGGACTGGGGGAGGATTGGTAGGACTGCTCTCCCTTGTCTTCTCCCTTGACCGTAAGACAAGGGAGAACGGACAGAGAGCGCAGCAGGACGAGGACAAATGCAGGGGGCGAGAGAACCAGAGGGTGGCCTGCCTGCCACACCATGTGGTGGGACTGGAGGGGCGAGAGTGTGGCGGGAACGAGAGAGTGGGGACGGGAGAGAGTGTGGAGGGGAGAGAGTGTGGAGGGGAGAGAGAGTGGAGGGGAGAGAGTGTGGAGGGGAGAGAGTGTGGAGGGGAGAGAGTGTGGAGGGGAGAGAGAGTGGAGGGGAAAGTTTGAGGAGGGGAGAGAGAGTGGATGACGGAGGGACAGAAGGAGAAAGAGAAAGTGTTCACTGAAGCATGATGTCAGTAGAGCTACCTCCCTCCCTCACACTTCCTCCTCCCCTGCACCCCCCACCCCCCCCCTTGGTTGCACTCACTCGCTCCCAGCGCCGTGAGTACGGGTTAAATGCCATGGCAGATGACGCCTTCCCCACATTCGCCCTGTACGCCACCTCCACTGGGGTTGTGCGTGCATGTATGCATGCGCATTTGCAGAAAGACCGGGAGGGGGGGGGATAGGTGAGGGAGAAGGAAGTGAGGAGGTGAGGGTGGAGAGGTCAGTCATCAGAGGCACAATTAAGATGTGCTAGCCAGCCACACACACGCACCCATGCTCCCTCTTCAACCCCCCTCCCCCCTTCTCCCCCCCTCGTTCCCCCTCTCCATCCCCCACCCACCGCCAGCAGCGATGGTCCAGAAGGGTTGGAAGACAGCCGAGAAGGACACAGGCAGGCTCTGCTCCACCTTATGGCCCCAACCCCCCACCCCCCATCCCCTCCCTCCTCGCCTCCGTCCCCCCTGCCCCCCTCCCCCCACCCCCGCCCACCGTCAGCAGCGAAGGTCCAGAAGGGTTGGAAGACGGCAGAGAGGGACACAGACGAGTCCAGCTGTGCAGGCGCGGGCGCCAGCCGCGACAACACACAAGCACAGACCTCCCACCCCTTCCCCCTTTCCTCCCCCTTTGCCCCCCCTCCTTCCAACCCACCGTCAGCAGCGAAGGTCCAGAAGGGTTGGAAGACGGCAGAGAGGGACACGGACGAGTCCAGGTCAGCAGGGGTGGGCGCCAGCAGGTGTCCCGTCAGGTGCTCTCGCAACAGAGCCAGGGCGGCCTCAGGTGCCACCTGAAACGGCACTGCCATTGGCGTGCGCGGCCGCCCTCCTCCCGCCTGCTGCGCGGAACTCCGCCAATGCTGGCGCTGGTAGTTGCGCATCTGCTCGCCCCCATGCCCCCGCGGCCCACCCCCCGCCTGCTGCGCATAGTAGCTGCGCGCCTGCTGCTTTCCGTGCAGAAGCGCATAACCGCTGGCGATTGGCGGAGGGAAAGCGCCGGGAGTAGAGGCAAAGACAGTGCGCGGAAACGGTTGGGGCGGCGGCGGTGTGGGGGGCGGAATGGAGTGCGCGTTTAGGGCGGTGTGGAGGTCATAGCTGCTGGGGGTTGGCGGAGGGAAAGCGCCGGGACTAGAGGCAAAGATGGTCCGCGCAAACGGTAGGGATGGCGGCGGGGTGGGGTGAGGAAGGGCGTGAGCGGCGAGTGCGGTGTGGAGGTCAGGTGGAGTGGGAAGCGAGTTGCGGAGAACGAGGTAGTGGTATACGCGGTAGCACGCCCTGGCACGGCCGCGCATGGCGGACGGAATGGTCTTCGGACGCCCCGAAAACCCGAGTATATTCTTCTAGAGGTATCAAAAACGAGCTTGGTTCACGGCGCGGTGTACGCGGACGCACGGCCTGGCGCCACGACCGCGCATGGCATGGCGGAGGAGCACGGGGGGAATGAGAAGGGAGCGCGTAGCAGAACTACTGGGAGGGAATGAGAGCAGCACAGTAGTAGGCTGGGCATGTTGGAGGATGAGAGTCCCGACAAGGGCCTAGTTAGCTCCAGATGTTGGACACTTCGAGGATACCGGGATGAAATTCGCACATGTAACTGCACTCTGGTTTGAACCTCGCAATAGAACGCCTTGTACAATTGTGCGTTAGAACAAAATGTATCAAAGCTGCTCAATCACTTTCAATCTAAAATGCAAAACAAATGCTACGATTTGAAGTGTATTACAGTGATGGTGATTAGTTCGACCACTTTATTTCCTCATCATTAATATGTTACTTTCAAACAGTGCCCTAATGACGTCCAAATATTACAAGGGTTCAAATCTGGAAATTGTAACTCGGGAAAATCTGCGTGCTTGAATGCGCCTTTAGCGTGTTTTTTCTCCAGTCCCTTGGGATAATCTTGCCCTTCCAGTTCCGAGAGCGGACCTCCATGAATTCCGAATGTTCTGGGTAGTTGGCCCAACGGGAAGAATAGCCGTGAGGCTGGAGCAGTCTGTCGGCCAATCGGGTATCAGGAGCTAATCACTAAGCACACTGACCAGGGCGAGTGCATCTCTTGAACTAGGACTGGCAATGTTTCCATCTCCATAACGCGGAGATTCTGACTCGGCGTTTTACGTTTAAGGCCCGCCGCCTTCGCCAAGCACATCGCGTCAGCAGCGCAGTACGCTTCCCTTTCGAGCAGCTCATTCCTACTGGCGTTAGTCAGTCTCGCAGCTGTAGCCGCGCCATTTCATTTCCAGCAGCGTCAGTCGATCTCCCAGTCCCAGCCTTAGTACCAGCGCACTCTCATTCCCATGGCCGCTTTCGCGATCCTCTCGCGGCGAATATCGACGACGACGATGGTCCTTTTCGTCGTGGTCGTGAGTAACATCTTCATCTGCTTCGTGCTGCTCGACAAAGCCCCCTCCGTCCCGCTGCTCTCGCGCGCGGGGAAGGACGGCAGCCGCGACAGAGGCGCGGGGGGGCGCGGGCGGGAGAGGGGGCGGAGCGGGGGGGAGGGGAAGGGGAAGCGGCATCCGCGGGGAGTGGTGCATAAGCTGACGGCGGCGGAGCAGGAGATGCTGGAAATGCGGAAGGAAAGGTGAGGAGTGGGGCGGATATGGTGTCTGGATGGATCACATGTTGTGGCTGTGGGTTGGCAGAGGTGCGTAAGCTGACGGCAGCCGAGCAAGAAATGCTGGAAATGCGGCAGAAGTGAGTAGTGGGGTTTGCACATACCATTTGCGAATACAACTTGCGTAAAAGTGGTGCTCACATAAGAGGGGAGTGGTGTATAAGGTGACTGACTGCTGCAGCCCCCCTGCTGAAAATGCGGAAAAAACAGCGAGTGGTGGGGTTTGCACATGCCATTGACGGGTATGACGCACAAGGTGTTGCTAGACAAGAGGGGAGTGGTGCATACACCGAGCGAGAAATGCTGGAAACGCGGGAAAATGAGTACGAGGGTAAAGAAATGGCGTGTACGAATGTAGCTCGCGTCTCAATGTAGCTCAACTAAGGAGGGGGTCTGCTCATATTAGGGTGTTTGCTCATGCGTGGGCGGTGGAGCATGAGGTGACTGCAGGCGGTGTAGCTCACATCAGCGTGTAGCCACATAGGAGTGTAGTTCATACAGGAGTGTAGCTTACATAAGCGTGCAGCTCACATTGGAATGTAGCTGAAATAAGAGGGCAGCTTGCCATCTGTTGCACTGTTGCTCACGTCTCTGCCTTATGCCAGTGCATGCGTGCGTGCATGCGTGCATGCCTGTCGTCCCCCACTCCCAGCTTGGACGGCGGCAGCAGCAGCAAGGAGGGCTTCATCCTGTTCAGCTCCGTCCACCTCAACTCATCCTGGCCTTCTCTCCTCTCGCTGTATATGCGTCTTTGATGCGATGCCATGTGTGCTTGCTTGCTTGTATCCGCCCATCCCCCCATCCCCCCATCGCAGTTTCGACGGCAGCAGCAGCAAGGAGGGGTTCATTCAGTTCAGCGCGTACCGCATCAACCCCCATAGAGTGGTTGCCATGGGCCTCGTTCCTCTGGAGCACCATGACGTCATCACTGCCCAGCACTGCTGGTGAGAGAGTGATACATATATATATATATATATATATATATATATATTCATTTATTTCTATTTATATGAATATGCAGCAGCAGTGGCATGTACATAGGCCCTTGGGATATATATGCATGGGCCAGTCATAGAGTGGCTGCCTTGGTCCCAGTGCCTCTTTATAGTGTGTTTGGGAGTGATGGATGGTCTGAGTTAAGAAGCTTTCTCTCTACGAATACATTGCTTTCTTTTTTAGAATTCTAAAAAGAAAAAAGCCAACGCATCATGTCGCGGCCATGCCATATCACCGTCTCCCCACATCCCCCTCGCCGTGTGTCCTTATCCATCTCCTCCCTCCTCCCTTTCTCCTTCTCCTCAGGTGGGAGTCAGCCAATGGGCAGTGGACAGATGGCGAGATCTCGGTGAAGTTTCCAGGGGAGCACCATGCGCGCGCCTATGAGTGCATCCTGCTGTACTGCGATCTTCAGCGCCCAGTCAGTTCCCTGTGAGTGCCAAACTCTCCCACGCGACGCCGGCTCTCTTGTCCGAATCTCGCCTCCACTTGACCACCTTGCCCTCTCGCTCGCCTACTGTATACGACTCTTCCGCCTCTCTCTTTGCGTCATCGCCTTCATCGCCTTTGCAGGGTGGGCGGCACAAGGTGGTGGTGGATCAGCAGGTTATAGTCGCGTACAAGGAGAGCCCTGGGTGCTTCCCTTCCCCCTATCATGTGCCACTTCAGCTCATGTGCCATTTTACCTCCCCCTCTCTCCCCAAACCCCGCCAGGGTGGGCGGCACACTGAAGATGGCGGTGGATCAGCAGGATATAGTCGTGTACAAGGAGAGCCCCGGCACTCCCGAGCCTCCGCCAGAGGTTCGGGACGAAGTTCGGGTGTTTGAGCGCAACCTGACGTACTGCTCCGCGCCCATGTTTGGCGAGATCGACACGCAGAGGCTGCTGGAGTGGATCGAATTCCACCGATCGGTGCACGGGGTAGATGTGAGTGCACGCATACGCATTCGTGTATGCAGGTAGCATTATGTACATGAGAGACTGCTCCGTGCCCATCTTTCACGAGTTCGACACGCAGAGGCTGCTGGAGTGGATCGAGTTCCACGGGTCGGTGCACAGGGTAGATGTGATTGCAAGCACGTGCACACATGGGTGGCATGGATAGGATGGCATGTGGGGGTGTCGTCCGTGCATGAGTGACACGCAGAGGCTGCTGCAGTGGATCGGATTCCACCAATCGATGCAGGGGCCATGGATGATGCTCTGGTGCGCCAGGGTATGGCAATGTCACGTGTCCTAAACTGCGTTACGATCCGCATCCTGCCGCCTTCCCTCCCTGCCCTCTCTGCCCCAGTACCTGCGCATGTACGACGCAGGAGCCATGGATGATGACGTCATGGCAGCTCTGAGGCCCTATTTAAGAGCTGGCATCATGGACATCACGGACATTAGAGGGCCGGCTTTATATGACACATGGAGCTATGCCCAGGTGGGTGGCATGTAAGCAACAGACAGCCATAGCTGCTCTGAGGCCCTACCTGAGGGGGGCAGCGCATAACAGACATAATGGGCATCACGGATACTAGGGGGTCAGCGCTGTATGACACATGGAGCTATGATGCCCAGATGGGTGGCATGTAACTGGCAGCATAATGGCGGCATGGCAGCTCTAGAGCCCTACCTGAGGGCTGGCTTCATGGAAATCACGGATACTAAGGGGCCCGCTTTTTATGACGAACGGAGCTATGCTCCGGTGGGTATAAGCCTGGGCCCTGGGTGCGTGCGTGACTTTTCATCCATGTCAGACTTGTCAGTAGTGCTGCCACCTTCTTCTGCCTGCGTGTGTCTGCTTGCGTCTACTATATGCTTGTGCCTGCCACATGCTTGCCTCTTCTCACACTCTTTTGTCTGCTTTGGCGTGTGCCGTTGCAACTTGCAACGGCAACGGCAACGTTCCTCTGCAGGTGCTCATGGTGAATGACTGTGCTCTCCGATCTCGACAGCTCACCAGGTCAGTTCCTTCCCACTGTCCCGCCGCCGCTTCTCAGCTCAAGCAGCGCATCCCTCCATGCCCAATCATCCAAGGGCACTATTCCTCTCGTCGGGCACTATTCCACTTCTCGGGCAGGCACTATTCCACTTTTCGGGCACTATTCCACTTCCCGGGCACTATTCCTCTTCTCGGGCACCATTCCTCTCGCCGGGCACTATTCCACTTCTCGGGCAATAATCCACTTCTCGGGCACCATTCCTCTCGCCAGGCACTATTCCTCTCCCTCCAGTGTTCTCTCTTTGCACATCAAATGATTAGCTAGCCCACACATGCCATGCATCACATTCTGCTCATCCCCATATTGCACCACAGCTTGCCGTGCACCACAGCTTGCCATGCACCACAGCTTGCCATGCACCACAGCTTGCCGTGCACCACAGCTTGCCATGCACCACAGCTTGCCGTGCACCACAGCTTGCCGTGCACCACAGCTTGCCATGCACCACAGCTTGCCGTGCACCACAGCTTGCCGTGCACCACAGCTTGCCGTGCACCACAGCTTGCCGTGCACCACAGCTTGCCGTGCACCACAGCTTGCCGTGCACCACAGCTTGCCGTGCACCACAGCTTGCCGTGCACCACAGCTTGCCATGCACCACAGCTTGCCGTGCACCACAGCTTGCCGTGCACCACAGCTTGCCGTGCACCACAGCTTGCCGTGCACCACAGCTTGCCATGCACATCATCCACCCCATCCATGGGATATGCCATGAGGTGGGTACTGTGCGTGGACATAGACGTGTGCATCCATCCAGATCTCTCCCATGCTGTGTTCTCACCAGATGTGTACTCTTCATGGATATGGTCGAGTGCATGCATGTGCTTGCCCTCCATGTGTCCGACACCCCCATCCATCCATGTCCCCCCCCCATCCATCCATGTCCGCCGATCCATTCATGCTCCCCCATCCATCCATGTCCGCCCGTCCATCCATTAACCCTCGCACCGAATGGTTGTATGCACGTGCTCGCCATTCAATGCCCCCCATCCATCCATAATCCTCGCACTTGATGGATACTGTTCATGGACGTAGACGAGTACATGCACATCCTCTCCGTCCATGTCCCCCCCATCCTTCCATGCTGCTTTCCCTCACATCAGATGGGTACTGTTCATGGACGTAGACGAGTACATGCATGTTTCGGAGCCGCCCCACTCCCTCCTCGTCTTCCTCAACTCCGTCCCGGCCATCCCCTGGCTCTCCTTCGGCTCCGTCACCTTCCCTCTTGACATCTGCGGCAAGATACAGGTACCCACCCTTCTCTCACCCACGGGTATTGGCACCCCGTCCCCCTAGGTGTGTAATTTCGCACCTCACCTATACCCCTCTCATCCCACTTCTCAATCCCTCTCTGGTCCGCTGTTGCAGGAGGCCGGGTGGGAGCCGTGGGCCGTGGAGCAGCTGGTGTTTCGAGAGCCGGTGGCGCACTGCAAGGAGCCCACCAAGTACTACAGGTGTGTGTGTTTTTGCTCAGGTGATTCTTCAGGTGGTTTTACAAAAACTGAGAGTGGCTCACTGCAAGGAGCCCACCACGTACTCCAGGTGGGTTTGTTTTCATTTCGCCAGGTGATTCTTCAGGTGGTTCTACCAGCAGGTGAGGGGCGCACTGGTGCTGCAGATGCTACAAATCCACCGAGTCTACAAGCTCAACCCCACCTCTCCCCACTTCCCCCCTCTCGCTCCCCTCGCCACCTCTCCCACTTCCCCCTCGCTCGCCCCTCTCCTCCCACCCATCGTGTGTGCGAGCTCAACCCCGCCTATGACTGAGGCGCCTCAAGAATGGACTCAAGCTCGCGTGCGATGCCAATGCTCCCCTCTTTGCCCCTCCCGTTCCTCTCTTGTGGCAGTCGCGACGCGTGCCTCAAGTGGGGCGGCCATCGCAACTATGTGGTCGACCCGCGAGCAGCCCAAGTGCTTCATTTCATACCAACCGAGTATACGAGCTCAACCCCACCAATGCTCGAGGGCACACCAATGCTCCCCTTGTTCTCCACTTCCATTCCTCCCCTTCTTACAGTCGTGTCGCCTGCCTCAAGTGGGGGGGCATCGCAAATACGTGGTGAAGCCTGGAACAGCCCAGGTGGTTCCGATCCACCGCCTGTACGAGCTCAACCCTGCCTCTTCCCACCCTCTACCCTCCCCTGTTCACGGCAGTCGAGATGCATGTCTCAAGTGGGACGGCCATTGCAAGTATGTAATCAACCCACGGGCAGCCCAGGTGCTTCAGATCCACAACGTGTACGAGCTCAACCCCGCCAAGGCTTCCTCCTTTTCCCAACCCCCATGCTCCCCTTGTTGCAGTCGTGATGCGTGCCTCAAGTGGGACGGCCACCGCAAGTATGTGGTGAATCCAAGAGCAGCACAGGTGCTGCAGATCCACCGCGTGTACGAGCTCAACCCCGCCTATGATGCCAATGCCCCTCCTGATGCTGCTGCTGTCGCTGCTGCCGCTGCCGCTGCCCTTCAGGCAACTGCAGGCGGGGAGGACGGTAACAGTAGCAGTACAGGGAACAGTACGAGTAACAGTGCGGGAAGCGGGGTGGCTTCTACAGGAAAGCTGATAGCGGTTGATGACGTGCAGGGGCTGCTTATAGGGAGTACAGGCGGTGGGTTGAATCTACATACGAATATTATTCGTGTGAATCACTACAGGGGCCTGGGGATCCGGTACGTGCCCATGTGTCGACAGATTATTGCGCTGTCATTGCCGGCTCCTAAGGGTGTTGTGAGGGACATCAATCTAGCCAGGATTGCGGTTGCCTGTAGATTGAGGTCATTAGACGCAGCAGCTATATAGAAAATGTGAAGTTTGTTTTGTGTAAAATCAAAGATTCTATTGGAAAGTACATGCTTCGGTCTCTTTTTCTTGGAAGACGATAATTCAGAAATATCCTGCTCTGGTTGCACAAATCTGTATTTCCTTGTGGCTGATTGTTGTAGACTAAAAAATCTAGATCCCATAGCTCCAAACAATGATTTGAATGTCATTAGAGCGAAGATACGGTTCTCCGACTGTAGAAAATAGCAAAACAAAAACACGTTATATGCGGATTTCTCCTCAATCATCCTGTTTGAAGAGCTGGTGAGCCTTGTGCTGTGAAGATCACGGTGACGCTTCTGTCTGGAAGGCAGTCTTCCCTAGGTCATAGTGAGCTGGTCCTTGGTGATTAAAACAGGGATCGCTGTTGCGATTCTGAAGAATTTAACGCTTTCTTGCGTTCCGTCGCTGCTGAGATCGCACATACCGCACTATCCGTCCAGTGTGACGCACATTGCTGTCGCGAGAACAATCGCATCATCTGTCCAGCCGACCGTTAACCATGCGACCGTCACCGTCTCTCGCGATGACTCCGTCTGTCGCATCCATCCCCCCGTCGCCTTGGCGAAATTCGCGAAACGGGAAACCGTTGCAGACAACCACGTCGCCACCGTGCACGTGCAGGTCGCGTCATGCCACTCCCGCGTCGTCGGCAGTTCAACACAGCATCACTAGACCTCCGCTGGTTCCGCGGCTAAGCAATAGGGCATCGGTGGTTGTTCGAGCAGCAGCAAGCAGCCGTGCGGTTGTGCGAGCGGCGGCGTGCGACACGCGCATGTCGTTCGGCGGCGGAGGCGAGACGTCGTCGTCGTCAGGTTCGGCGGGATCGCAGCAGGCGACGCAGCAGAAGCAGTCGACTCCCAATGGTGAGTGGAGGGACTACGGACTCCCAATGGTGAGTGCGGAGCGGTGAGAACTCTCAACTGGTTTACGATGGCCGCTGTGTTGGGCTTGACTAAAGAGGCAACGAGGAGAACCATCGGCAGGTTCACGGTCGGCGGGATTGCAGCAAGCCACGCATCCTAAGCAATCAACTGCCAGTGGTGCGTTTTGGGAATGAATGGTGATAAATCTTGGCTGCTCCTCCTGGCTGCGGCTGTGTTCTGAGTTGTTGACTCATGGGACGCCAGAACGGTTGGTTTCCTAGAATTCTCAGAATTCCCAGAACGGCAGCGTCAGGGCTGGCAGGATCGCTACAGGCCACAGAACAGAAACAGGTGGCTCCCAATGGCGATTTGAGCGACGGTGGCCCCCTCCCGATGCCTCTCCCTCTCTTCCTTTCCTCCCTCCATCCCTCCCTTTGTTTCTCCCTCCCTCCTCCCATTCATTTGCGTCTTCGGCCCATCCGATTCTCCTCGTCCTCCCTCCCTCCTCCTTCTCGCACCGTTTCTCGCTGCCACGCTCTCGCCCTCCCTCCCGTTTTCACTTTCTCCCACCCACCCGCCCCCCCTCTTCCCCATTCCTCTCCTCCTACCTTCCCTGGTCTCTTCCCTCTCTCCCACCCTGCCTCGCTCTGCACCTACCTCTTCCACTCCCCCTTCGGGCTGTCTATCCCCTCCCTCTATTGCCCTCTCCCCTCCCGCTATTGTCTTTCCCCTCGTCTCCCTCTTTTCCCTCGTCTCCCTCTTTTCCCCTCCTCTCCCTCTTTTCCCTCGTCTCCCTCTTTTCCCCTCCTCTCCCTCTTTTCCTCCCTCCTTCCCTCTCCTAAAATCCAACCTACTCCTCTGCGGTTCTGTAGTTCCCTACCCCCCGACCCCCGTTTTGCTACATTGCACTCAACATGCCTCCTCTTCTACAACCTCACCCTCCTTGTCGCCTCTTTCCCTCCCTACCCACCCTTGCCCTACCTTCTCTCTCCAGTGGCGAAGCTAGACATGGGGGGAACGGGCTTTCCTCCCCGAGATGATGATGGAGGTGGTGGAGGAGGTGGAGGTGGAGGTGGCCGTTTCTGGTGGGGCTTTGGGTTCTGGTCAGTGCTGCTGCTTCTTTCCTTTTTTAAAGACCGGGACGAGAAAAAGCGACGTTCAGGGCGAAGAGCAGCTTATTATTGAAAATGTTGATTTAGTATGGTGGGACCTATGCTTGAGCGTTCCTACATATTTCTAGAGCAAATTTAGGCAAGATCTGATCAGAATGGAAATATCCGTTGACTTTTCTACGCTTCTCCCCTATGCTGATGGCCGCTATACTCGGTAAGGTCCAATTCCGTCGATTACTGCTCGCTGCGAAATAGTGGGGCGTGTCCTTTAACCCAACTTTGAAGAAAGCTACACCTCGTACTGTAACACGGCAGTGGGCACTGGGTACAGTACAGTAGCTTCTGCCCATTCTGCCCGAATCACAGTCCAGTGTTGGCGACCGCCAATCACAAGACACCGCCACCGCACACGCAGGCTGTTTCCACCTTTCAAACGCCACGCGCCAACCCACAGCACGTGGATCTGACCGTTCGTGCCATGTCAGAGATCAGCGACGCGTCGCGAACTTGCCAGGTTGGTGGTGGTTGGGGGTGAGGGTGGATGACAGCGAAACTCCTCGAAAGGGTTTCCCGGTGTTCCCTAGAGTTTTCGTACCGTCATCTGAGGCACAGTCGCTGACCCTAAGGGTCGCGACTGAAAATCGTTTTCTCCGACCAGTTCGTTGGATCTTCGCAGATCTCGTCAGCCTCGTCATCCCTTTTCATCTAGATGCTTCAGATTTGCGTGCTGTTTCCCGGTCTGTTTCATCGGCTATCTCGAGAGAGCCTTGGGCTTTGGGCCCAGTATGACGGCAACCAGGCACGCTGAAGAGGTGGTTTCAAAATACAGTTTTGGCCTGAATCCATTGGTCACCCAGCTTGAGCCTTCTCAGTGGCAAAATACTCTCTGTGAGCCTTGATATCGCCGAGCAGCACGAAACTAATCACTTCCAAGTCATCGTTCTGGGGCTAGAGAACGTTCTCTCTGCATTCTGCTCGTCTCGCTCTCTCGCTCTGTCGCGTCGCATTTCGAGTAAACCTGCTGGGTCGCGTGGTCGAGAGCGTGCTCTTTTCCCTGCTTGGCGTCGTCAATCCTTCAGTTGACTATTTGAACGGCTGAACTATAACTCAAGGTATTTTAACCTTAGATTCCGAGCTTCTGTGAGAATAGGGAGTGGCTGATATTGTGATGCGACAAAAGCGTGTTAGCGAATGAGAAAGGGGGGGAAATGAAACCTTTGAAAGGGAGAACCAGAATCAACTATACTTGAAACTACAGCAGATGCCTTCCTCCCAGTCCTCTTTATAGCACACTGAAGTGTTTGGTTCTAAATGTCATGCATACCCTCACTTGCTCTCCTTTCCTGTCCATTCTCCCGGTTCCCCCTTCGCTCGCTTATCCCTGTTCCCCGCGCGCTCCTCTCTCGTCGCGCTTATCCCTGTTTCTCACTTCGCTACCTGCAATCGCGTGGCTCTCCGTCCGCTGAACCGGCTGTCTCGGAGTAATTAGCGGAAACCCTGTCCCATCAGTAAGGTTCTTTCGGTGAATCAGGTCCCAGTGGGAGCATTGTGTGGCCCACTAAAGGCTAATAATATTGAGGACTTATAACAATCGCCACGTTGACTGCCCGTTGATTGGCATGGAACGGTCGCATCCGTTTCTCTTTGCGCACCCTCTTTCCGCTGCTCATCTCGCTTCCCCTGCTTCCCCTCCTTCTCCTGCTTCTCCTGCTTATCCGTTGCTGCCTCTGCTGCGTCATCCCCCCTATGATCCCCCAGAATCGCCCATGGCTGCGGCCCTCGCATCCAGCCATCGACTCACGAGCCTCGCCCTGCAGCGATCCTCGTCCAATCCGAACCCGCCTCTAGCGTCGCCGGCGCCCGTAGCCGCGTTTCTGACACGCAATCACAACCACAGCTGCGGTGCTACAAACACGAGCAGGGCGGGCAGCAGAAGTATCAGCAGCAGCAGGAGCAGCAGCAGATGCAACAGCCATGGATGGCGCAGTAGTGCCGCCCCGTTCAGTGCGTCAGGCCCGTCCAGAATGCGAGGTGTGTAAGATGCTTCCAACAGCCACCTTTGCTATGCTTACTCAAGCCTCTTTCGAAGGAAAACAAATCTTCTGAACTCCCAGAAAAACTCAGGGTTCTGAGTAGTGCGCTCCTCCAACGGTTCCCTTTTCCCCTCCCCATCTCAGCGTCTATCTGTCTTTCTCTGTTTCGGGCCAACCAGTGTGCGCCCTTTTCAAACCACCTCCTGTCCTCCCTCCTCCTTCTCCACCTCCTGCCCCCTCCCTTCCTTTCTCATCCTTCCGCTCTCATCCTTCCGCCCTCGTCCTTCCGCCCTCGTCCTTCCGCCCTCATCCTTCCGCCCTCGTCCTTCCGCCCTCGTCCTCACCAACCCTTCCCTCCGCTCTTCAGCCGGAGCAGCCTTTGCAGCGGCTCAGGCAGAGAGCGCCACGTCAGCAGAGCCACAGGAGATTGACACGTGGCAGGTGAAGGTGCTGTACGATGGGGACTGCCCAATCTGCATGAAGCAGGTGAGCGGTTGCCAGTGCCACGTGGATGGTTCTCTCAAGCACTCGTGGTGGATGATTCTCCCTTCAACTAGCGTTTGAGCTTTGAGCATGCTGTAGCGTGACGGTTATCAGGAGGAGCAGGCACAGAAGGTATGGACACTTGTGCAAGTGGGAATGGGAGACGAGAATCAAAGGGATGAGTGGATCTGATTCTAGCCCTTCGTGTTGCCATCCAACACATCTCGTCCCCCCCCCCCCCCCCCCCCCTTTTCCTCCTGGGAAAGAAAGAAAGAAAGAGAGAGGAAAGAAGAAAGAAAGAAAGAAATTAAAAAACCCAGTGCAACCGAACGACGTGTGAGGAAGGAGAAGGGTGACGAGCGCAAACAACATGACGTTGCGAGGGAATGAGATGACATCGCCTCAACCTCGCCGCCATCCTCGCTGCAATCCTCGCTGCAGGCCGGGTTCTTGCCTTTGCACAGCAAGCAGTGACCACTCTTTCAAAAGCTAGTCGTAGTGGCCCATGCTCGCAAGGTCGCCTTGTAAGGCGCATGAATCTCCATTGCTCCCATTCACCCACCATTGCTTTCTCGTGCAGGTTGAGTTTCTTTCTGCCCGCAACAAGCAGTACCAGACTCTTAAATTCGTGGACATCTCGACAGAGGATTATGACCCCGACGAAAATGGAGGAGTCGAATATGAGGAGGTGAGTGTAACCATGACGATTGCAACGAGGGTGGTTGTAAGTTGTACCTTGTAAGGAGGATACGGGGAGACCTATGAGTTGGACAACATGCAGTACCAGACCCTCAAATTCGTGGGCATCTCAACAGGGGACTAAGACCCCAACGAGAATGGAGGGGTCGAGTATGAGGAGGTGAGTGCAACTGTAACGAGGATGAGGAAAATGATTGCTACGAGGATAAAGGATGTAGCCTATGACGTGAGGTACCAGGCTCTCACATTCGTGGACATCTCAACAGAGGAGTATGACCCCAACGAGAATGGAGGATTCGAATTTTGAGGAGGTGAGTGTAACGAGTGTTACTGTAACGAGGACGGTCGTAACTTATAACGAGGATAAAGTGAGAGACCTATGGGTTGGAGAACAAGCAGTACCAGACACTCAAATTCGTGGACACCTCGACAGAGGACTATGACCTGGATGAGAACGGAGGAGTCGAGTATAAGGAGGTTGGTGTAACGAGAATGATAGTAACTTGTAATGAGGATAAGGAAAGACCTGTGAGTTGGAAAACAACCAGGACCAGGGCCCCAGTTGTAGGAAACAGAGGTGCTGAGTAACAGGTGACTGTAACGAGAATGATTCTGACGAGGACAAAGGAGAGACCTACGAGGGGTTGAACATAGAGATTATCAACCAGTTGCCCCATCACATTCCTCCCTCCATTTTCTCCCCCCATTGTAGTCATGCTCTCTCTCTCTAGATTCACGTTCTGTGCTCTTCGTGCTTCCTTTCTACTATCCCACCATCCTTTGTTATCACGACTCTTTGTTTTCTATCTCCCTCCCCTTGGCAGGCCATGGGCCACATGCATGGGGTCATGCGTGACGGCACTGTTGTCAAAAGCATGGATGTGAGTGGGCATGGGCGGATGTGTGATGCATGGGTTGTGGGCATGATGCATGGGGTTTTTCTTTATGGTTTTGTTGTCAACGCATGGATGTGAGCTGCCATATGGGTGTGATGTGATTGTTGAAACTCAACAACCCAACGCCAACATTATTGGCGAACATGATTGTGGTCAATGGTTTGGAATCAAGCCAAAAAGGTTCTGAGCCCCAGCCCAGGTGTACACCCGCTACTGGTAAGTGGCATGCACGTAGTGCTCTAGCCCCAGTATGCTCTATACATATATATACATATATACATATCCATATACTTATATGTATATATATACACTAACAGTGAGTCGTCATACGGATGAGAGTTGGCGTATAAATGTGGGTTGACATATAAATGTGGCATACGACTTTTCTCTTTCGTCGCTCCTGTAAGGGCTCTCCTCTTTCCGTCTCATCCCCTTCCTCCGCTCCTCTCCTCTCCTCTCCTCTCCTCTCCTCTCCTCTCCTCTCCTCTCCTCTCCTCTCCTCTCCTCTCCTCTCCTCTCCTCTCCCCTCCTCTCCCCTCCTCTCCTCTCCTCTCCTCTCCTCTCCTTTGTTCACCTCTCCTCTCCTCTCCGCTCAAACCTGGCCTTCTGCAGCTTGGTTTCAGGCACCTCAGAACCCGTCAGCATGCCTCTGATCCTCTCATTACAGCCCTTCCGCAGCTTCGACGATGCAGTGGAGCTGGGATGGGACACATTTGATGCGCTCAAAGAAAACAGGCGTCTTACTTTCTCCTTGCATCTTCCCTCTCCCCCACAAGGCGATGGCCTCGGATGGATCATTCAGGCGCCTGAATAAATATGCACTCTCCTTGCGTCCTTCCTCTTGCATCCTCCCTCTCCCTTGAAATGAAACCAGGCCTTTCGCAGCTTCTACGATGCAGTGGGCCTTGGTTGGATCATTAACGTCACCAACTTCCCCCCGGTAAGCAACCCTCGCCGCTCCTGTAAGCACCCCCTCTCTTTCCTCATAACAGCCCTCCCGCCCCTAAGCTTTTGTCCACCCTTCTCCCCCTCATGGCCCATTAACCATGTGCCAAGAATTCCCAAGCTTTCTATAGCAGTATTTCCACCTCCCTCGACAATGTCCGCCTGCTGATCCTTTGCTGGTTATCTCCCTCTTCCCACCCCAGATAGCAGTGGTGGTGGATGCAATGTACGAGCTTTTTGCGAAATACCGCCTCCCACTCACTGGTGCGAGCTCTTTGCTAAGTAACATGCTATATTTACTGGTAAACAGAGGTCACTGTACGTTCATCTTTTGAACACACAGCCCTTCCACTCAGTATCGCCTTGGATTCCGCCCCCACCTCACTCTCCTGCTCACCATACCTTCCACTTGCTCTTATCTCCTCCCCTTCCTACTTCCCTTGTCATGCTACCAACACACCATGCTACCTGTTTCTGATTTGTTTCAATCGCTTCCAATCCACTGTGCATGGCGGTGTGGTCTCTGTTGCCTAAATCCTCCTGACAGGTCACCCGGGCATCCAGGCTGCGTTTGAGGAGCGCAAACGGACCAAGGTGAGATGGAATGTGCTGTTGTGAAATTAGGCGTACTTTTTATAAGACGTGTGTGTGCTTTTGTAATGATTATGTTTCTACGAGTTGAGGTGCGTTCGTCTTATGAGGAATGCGTTCGCTGTCCGAGAGCCCAGACGTCCTTCTATGAGGCCATGGTTTGGGTGGTTGCTTCACAACTCTCGTATGTGAATCTTCTTCCGTTCTTCTCTTTGGCGTCTTCACCATGCAGTATGGCATCAAGGGCTGCACAGAGGAGGACCCCTGTGAAGTGGAATACTGATAGTTCAAGTGGAGCGCCAATGGGTTTATGTGGATGCCAACTACTGGTGGTATAGGACTGTTGGGAGACAGACGAGAGTACCGCATTTCAGGTTCACCTTGGTAGCTTCCAGTGTAATTATGGCTTTCAAACGGGGCACATAGTCCCTTTTACCAACATTGTGATTGCCAAGTCATACTCTTGATTGTTATCTGGGCATGCTGGTCTTGTTTGTTCGGCACTGCATGTGCAATGTGCTGGGGCTATATGAGTGAACATAGTTCCTACGAGGGTGGCCAGTGAATTATCCTTGAAATGAAAGGAACAAGAGGGATGAGGCATGCACGAGGCAGAGAAACTTAGCACCAAACAATAACAGGCATTGGAGTAGTTTCCTTTCAGTAAGCATGGATGGGTGGGTGGGTGTGTTGTGCTTCTTATGGATGTATCATATGGATGCATCATAACCAGGGCTGACGTTTCAAAAAAAGGCACTCTGATCCAACCCCCCCCCAAAAAAAAATAGTCTGAAGGGCCTTCAGCCGAAATTTTTGTAGTCTGAAATGTCAGGGTCCAGAACTCAGCGAGTCTGATTTTTTCAGGGTCCAGGACGTACAACCAGAGTCACACACGGGAAACACCCCCACAGCGAGAAATTCCCTCCCTCCTACACCTCCCAAAAAATCGGCTAAGTCCCTTGCAGCATTAAAAATCCTCCCACAGCCCGCGCCCCCCCCAACCAGCAACCTTGTCATACCCTCGTTTTGCGTAGTTGTTAAATGTGGGAAACGGGGAAGTCATTCCTAAAAACCGAGGGGGTAAAATCGCACTGCCACGGAAATCGAAACTGAGGAGAGGGGGAATCGAAACTGACGGGGAAATGGGGAGGGAATCAAAATGGAGGGGAGGGGGGAAGCGAAACGGAGGGGAGGGGGGGGAAGGGGGGGGGGGGGGTCGAAACGGAGTGGATGGGGGAAGCGAAACGGAGGGGAAGGGGGAAATGATCGAAACGGAGGGGAGGGGGGAAGCGAAAATGGAGGGGAAGGGGGGAATCGAAACAGCAGGGAGGGGGGAAGCTGGGGAATAGTGTTAAAGTGAGAACGCATAATCACTAGAGGTGGAAACCTAGAACAAATACTAGTTGGTTGTACTCACTAGAAGCATACCTCAGTCTAGCCTATAACTTCTACATAGATAATATGTATAAGTTGACACACCCCCTAGGCTAGACAAGGGGTGAAACTAAACAAGAAACAAACAGCTCAGGGCGGCACTACTAGTCCAACCACTGAGGCAGGGGTCTGGAGACCAGTCAGCAAGAATACAACCAAAACTGAAGCAAGCCAGGGTGGCACTACTAGTCCAGCCACTGGAGGTAAGGCCACAAGGCCAGTCTGACAAGCATATATAATAGAGAGTACACAATCAGGATCCTAACAGGGGAGCAGCTACAGGAACAAGACCAAGCTGTACACAGTGCCGCTGATGATCTTTAGGCGCAAGCGCCTTAGTAAAGATATCAGCTGTGTTGGCACCTGAGGCCAAGTGAACTACGTGGGCCTGGCGGCGCTGCTGCAGCTCACGCAGGAGAAAGTACCGCAGCTGGATATGCTTCGCTCTGCCCTCAAGCCGAGGCTCCTGACACAGGAGTATCATGGCCCTGTTGTCAGCGTACAGGACCGGGGCAGAGCTAGGCCGCTCACCTAAGTCTGTGAGCAAGAAGGTCAGCCAGCGGAGCTCCTGTGCCGCCATGGCACCAGCGTAGATCTCAGCCTCACAGCTAGACTGAGCCACAGACGACGAGCGAGTGGATCTCCAAGAGATAGCACCCGAACCAAGGCTGAAACAGTAGCCCTGTGACGACCTGAGCGTCTCAGCGTCGTCTGCCCAAGAAGCGTCTGTGTGCCCAGTAAGGACCACTGGCCTGCGTCCTCCTAGCACTAACCCCATGCCTGATGTACTAGCAAGATAACGCAAAACCCTGTTAGCGGCAGACCAGTGCTGAGGTCGGTGTCTGCCTGTAGCCACGAAGCGAGCCAGGATGCTGAGAGGGTATGCGAGATCTGGGCGCGTGCAAGTCATCAGGTACATGAGGCAACCCACCAGCTCTGCGTAGGGGCCACTGGGCTCTACTGGCTCCTCAGGAACGGGAGCAGGGAGCCCATGGTCTACGGGTAGAGGTGTGGGCTGTGCGGAGGAGAACTGAAGACCGAACCTCTGAAGGACCTGACGCACCAAGTGTGACTGGGTCAGAGTGATGGTGCGTGCTGCTCTGTCCCTGGAGATCTGCAGGCCAAGATAGCGACGCAGCTCTCCAAGGTCAGTGCAGGTGTGTCTCTTCAACAGCTCAGCCTTCACAGAGGCCAGTGCGTCCCTGTCAGGAGTAGCGAAGACCAGGTCGTCTACGTAGACAAGGATGTAGAACAGAGTCTGGCTGGAATGCACAAACAGTGAAGGGTCGCAGAGGACGGAAAGAACTGCAGGTCTGCTAACGTGGCACGTAGCGTGTCGTGCCACTCGCGGGGAGCCTGACGCAGGCCGTAGACCGGGCGCCTGAGAAGCCACTGGGTCCCAGGAGGGAAGGTACCAGTGAAGCCCTGTGGTCGGCGCAGGTAGACCTGCTCGTGTAGGCTGCCCTGAAGAAAGGCAGTAGAGAAGTCGAGGGAGTGAAGCTCGTAGTCACGCTGTGCTGCTACATGTAGCAGCGCCCGAAGAGTGGTCATCTTCGGGGTCGGGGCGAAGGTCTGGAAGAAGTCAACCCCCTCGCGCTGACTGAAACCTCTGGCCACGTAGCGCGCCTTGAAGACAGGCGGCTCTCCAGGGGGGCGCTTCACCTTGAAGAGCCACCGACCATCGACTACGTTCACCCCAGGCGGGGGAACTGCGTCGACGTAAGTGCCGGTGGACCTCCAAGATGCCATCTCCTGCTCCATGGCAGCAATCCACTGAGAGGCCCAAGGTCCCGAGGTGGCCTCAGCGTAGGTGCGAGGGGTCGGGATGTCGAAGGCGTCTGGGTCACCCTCAGGGACTAGGAGCATGGAGTAGAGATGGGGAGCAGCCTCGGAAAGGAAAGCCAGCTCGTACTGCCTGTCCTCTAGGACGTCACTGCCAAGGGCAGGAGCACCCCCGACGGACAGAGGACGGGCAGGGTCAGAGACCAGAGCGGTAGCGTAGTCAAGGCGGCGGGTAGAAGCGAAGTCAGCGACAGCGGCGACAAGCGCGTCAAGGCGCGAGACAGGAACAGCAGGGTCGGTAACAAGAGAGGCAAGGACCCGAGGGACAAGGGGACGAGAAGCACGGAGGTAGTCAGAGAACGGAGGAGGTGCAACAGCAAGGGATGAGGGAGGAGGGGACGGGAGGAGGGGAGGACGAGACGAGCGGGAACGGAGCAACATAGGGTGGGTGGGCAGGACAGGAGAGACGGGACGAGCACGGGGGGGACGGCGAGCCCAAACGTGAGACGGAGGGGTAGGGTCAGGGGACAGCGGAGGAGACACAGGAGGGGAACGAGGAGGAAGACGGGCCGGAGACGAGTCCGGCGGCGGGAACACAGGACCGTAGACAGGGAGGTCAGCAGGCGGTGGGGGAGACACCGGCGCGCGGTCCGGTGAGGGAAGGCCGAGCAGGCGGAGAGCGGAAACCGGCGGCGACGGCTGCTGCGGCGGCGACGACGGCTGGGCCGGAACTCTCGGACCAGCAGAGGCAGAACGACCGTCGGCAGAACACTCAACAGCAGCACCCCCAGAACCAACACCCCCAGAGCGAGAACCCCCTCCAACACCAGCGGCACACCCAGAAGCCGAAGGACGAACACCCTCCTCCACACCAGCACCCCCAGGGGCCAAGAGCGGTGGCGGCAGTGGCGGCAACGGCTGCGGCGGCGGCGACAGCGGCGACGGCGGCAGCGGGGTCGGCGACTTCGACAGTGGGGGCGGAGGCACCGGGGAAGGGGGACGCTGCAAGGACGGACCGGGGGTACCACCAGAGTCAGCAGACTCCTCAACGGGGACAACCGACGGGAGAGGAGTGACGTGGGAGACACCTGACGGGGCAGGACGAGGCGGGAGAGGGGCAGGGGCTACCGGGGGAGAGGGAGCAAGGAACAGGGGGGGGGTAACTGGGAGACCTCGGTGAGGGAAGCGGCGGTAGAAGGAGACGGACTCGTCAAAGGTGACGTCACAAGAGTGGAGGAAGCGGTGAGACGGCGGGTGGTAGAAAAGCCAGTCAGACGAGTCCAGGGGGAAACCGAGGAAGACACAGGGGACAGTGCGGGCAGTGAGCTTGTCCGTGCCAGAGGCACGAACGTGAGCAAGGCAGCCCCAGACGTGGAACGCAGACGCGTCACCGGGGGACCCGGTCCAAAGGAGGGTCGGCGAAACCTGCGGCCGCTGGGAGCGTGGCCACAGGTTAAGCTGGTGAGCAGCGTAGCGAACAGCGAACGGCCACAAAAAATGGGGGGCATCGGCATGGATCATGGAGGTACGGGCGACCTCCATGACCAAGCCGATGCGGCGCTCAGCAACCCCATTCTGCTGTGGCGAGTCCGGCAAGGTGTACGACTGGGTGATGCCCTCCGCACGACCGAATTGTCCAAGCCGACCAGAGGCGAACTCGCCGCCACGGTCAGAGTGGAGACACAACACGGGGAGACCGCGGTGGAGACGCGCAGCCACAACCCACGGGAGAAGAACGTTGGGCACGTCGGCCTTCCGCTCCAGGGGAAACACCGTGGTGTAGCGCGTGTAGTCGTCGACGTGCACAAGGAAGTAGCGCTCACCGCGCGGTCCGAGGACGCGGGCAGGGCCCCAAACGTCCAAGTGCAGGGTCTGAAGGGGGGCAGTAGCAGGACACAGCGAGGAGGAGTGAGGAGCACGGCGAAGCCGACCCTCGACGCAAGGTGTGCATGGTGGCGCAGTCGAGGGAGGAAGGGCAGGGAGCGACGCAGGGAGACCTAAGACAAGACCGTGCTGGGACATGTGACGCAGACGCGGGAGAGCAGGGTGACCTAAGCGGTGGTGCCAGAGAAGGGAGGGGTGAGCGAGGGACCGACACGAGCAAGCTGCAGCGACCTGGGAGGACGCACCAACCGGGGGGGAAGCGGTGTCTAGGGTAAACAGACCGGACACCGGGTCCTGGGGGAACGTCGCAAGGGGGGAACCTGAGACAGCCTCAGAACAGACAGTGAACCGCTCGTGCCCGGGGAACGTGGTGGTGACGCCGAGGTCCTGGAGACAGCCGACACCAACCAGGTTCCTGGAGAACGAGGGAACGTGGAGGCCAGTAAGG